AGCCAGCGATAGATATGCTCATAATCAAATAAAGAACTCCCTTTAAAAAGTCTTCTTTCCAAAAAATCGCATGTTTGGGAGTTCTGCAGATGGATGCTCACGTTTGTCGTCTTTTTTCAACGTGAAGTCAGAGCCAAAAAGTATATTTTGCTGGTAAAGGCCCCGTAGTGGGATTTTGAGTTTTGTTTTATCGTAGACCAAAAAGGCGTTCTTTGACTTACTTTTGTGACAATTTTCTATCTTCTCATATTTAATTGTGATTTTTCTACTCAGCGACCATATAACATTTAAACATTCCTCAAATTACGACCGCGGCAGGTGTTCCATTTCCAACTTAAGAATTACTTTAAAATAATGGTCAGATGTGGTTACGTAGTCGCACCTGAAGTAAACAAACCCCTGCCACCCGTACTACGGGACCGGTGGTAATAGAGGTTTTTGCAATTGGGGGCAGGCAATGCACAGGCAACGAGGTCAGCGGTTGCATGCAAAAGGAAAGCTATTGGGAATGCATAGTTGTACTTTGAGTGATTGAGAAGTAGTTGTCTTAACCCATGACCCTAACTCCAACCCTATCCCCTGACATTGACCCCTAACTATAACCCCTAATCCTAACCATACCCCCCAACCATAACCCCTAATGCAAGTTCAACAGTATTGTGTCCATCAGGTGGGGCTACATAACCTAATCTTACCGTAATATGTCACATATGAATCCTTTTATTACCCTTCATAATTTTAGGTGGCTATTGGATGGGGATCCTTTCTGGAAATAAGTTTCCCCGCGTTACAGGTGGACATCCGCTAAATTTAAGAGGGGTTGAGGTAGAAGTTGTGAGGGTCGAGGGTTGAATTTAGTGCAAGGCTGCTTCTAGCAAAGTGCGCGTCCTACGTCCAAGTATGGGATATTCGTGTGGATCCGAAAATTACGGGTGTGTTAGTACAATATATTCGTTGTCAACGCTATCGCGGACTTTTGGGACATAAAATATGAAATCTGATTTGTTTAAGAAGAAAGTTCTGGTTTTTTTGGCAAAACGGTGTGGCTGTTCACACCCTGTTTCACCTGATTTACGCGAACAGAAACACCGAGTTTTAGGGTGACGAGTGTTGGTTTGAAATGCAGTGGTCGAGGACGCGAAGATTTCAAAATCAAAAGTTAAGGAAGACAGAGTTTGAGGATTTTGCCGAGGCGGGGGAGCGTGCGCTCAGCTAAGCAGGTGGTCGACTCACCGTGTGAGTGACAACCGTTGGGGTTCTTGGCTGTGGTTCATACGAGTGTGTGTACCTCGGCTTTGTTTTCCTGCAGCCAACCAGGCGAGGACACATTGCTGGTTAGACTCACGTTCTAGCCATGCCTGAGCCTAAGCAAATGATTGGCGGAGGCATTAAGCGGACTAAAGGCGGTAAGAGCGAGTGTGGACGCTGGCGATGGCGAAGCCATACGGTCACAGTATCCTTCCGGCTAGAGCTCCCAATGGGCAAAGAATCCGGGTTTGAATTCTACACCAACCAAATCTCGGACCGCTTCTGCAGACTGACGACGGCCAATGAGTTGGAGACTGCCATCGCACTCCCCGTCATTCTTGTCAGTATTCCTCTCAGGGATTCAGTAACCGAAACAACTGATGCGTACTGTCTCCATATTCCTGCCAGTTTAAGTAACTCGAATTTTAAAATCATAATTCTCATCCGAAATACTTTCAAAGATTCTTTCTATAGTACTGCGCTTTGCGCTGCCTTAAGTAGTAAAATACTTTTCACCAAAGATGTTTGCTGTCCCATACAACATCTTACTTGTACAACTTTGACACGACAAAAAGGTCTCGGTCATCCGCTGTCAATGCCTATGCACGCCAATATATTGGCAACTGTATGGCCAGCTTCTGTTGAATATAGAAAAAATGGAACCCCTGAATAAACATTATGGCTAGATTGCATTTGGTAGCCAGGAATGGGGAAACGGACAGCGAAAACCTAAGCCTAAAGGGCATAACCCTAACCCGAAAATCGCACACCATTAACCGGTACCCTAATCCTAACCTCAAACGTAAAACGGTAGCCAAATGGGTCACATGTGATTATGTAGCCCCACAAAAAAGCTCCAGTAAACAAACCCCCCAGCCATCTATAATACGGAGCCTGGCTACCAACTGCGATCTAGCGAACATTATATCTCCGTCGAATATATTTTTCAATAACAAAAGAGTACATTTCTCCCCTAGTCGGGATAAGCATGCATCGTTTCACGACCCATCTGTTCCAGCACTAGGCTTTTTATTGTTGCGGTCTATTTTGTCCGCGCTGTGTCAACATTGTCCTTCGCATTGTTTGCATTTCCTGATATTTTCACACGTTGTTATGGTGATGAACTCCGGACGGATCGCTGCTTGGGTCTCTGTTTCCATTTTTGGCACATCGCACGTCACGTGCCGTGCCGTTCTCGACAAAAAGTCACCTGCTTTGGATAGTACCTGCATTGTTCATCAGCGCGACACTAGCCAGTCAACGTTCTTACTACTTATAACAAGTTGTTTTACAAGGGAAGTCTTCAGCTATCCTTTACGAATTAATTACTAACTGGGGCAAATCAATCGGAATGAAGCTTTCAAGGCTGCCTCCGAGAGTTGGCATGAATATTTCAGCCGAAATCCATCAGCGTCAGCAGTGTAATCGTGTAATACGCATAACGTGCTAACAGGCAACCCCTTTTATAAACATGTTGCATGAATTTACCGGGCTGACGGCGCAAGCACTAGCTTTTAATTAGCACCGGTGCTGCCGCTATTGTATAGTCATATAGCAAGGGGAGTCTTTTCTGCCTGGGCAGTGAGTACATCTTTGCCGAAGGTAATGGTCATGTATTAACGTCCACCTTCATTTATAATAATCACTACTTGTACAGAATGATTCAAGTGACATATTTGTTTGGAATTTTCCCAAGAAAACATCGTCTGACTGACTGACTGCAACCCAACACGCAGACATTTTTAAGTCAACGACGGCAATGGAATATTTGAGTTGAAGATGAACTCATAATCAATGTCAACCCGACTAAATAAGACGCAATGATGACCGCGAGTCCCTGAGCGACAGTCTATAAGGTGTCTTCACTCTGAGAAGTCATCGAAGTTTGGGTCAGATGTGGTCATGTAGCCGCACCTGAGGTAAATAAACCCCAGCCACCTGTAACACGGGACCAGTAGTAGTCGGCGTTTTTAAAAGTGGGCCGTGGAACGCAAAGGCGATGAGATCAAGTAATTGTAAGCAAAAAAAGCTATTAGGAATGGGCGGTTGTAATCTGAGTGGTTGACAGGTAGTTGTCCTAAAGCCTAATCATAACCCCTGACCTCTAACCCTAACCCCCAATCCTAGCCCTTATCCTAATGCCTAACCGTAAGCCCTTACCCGGACCCTTTAACCCTTACCCATAACCACAGCCCTAGACCCTAATCCTGAAAGTTATAAGGAGACGACAGGCCGAAAGTCAAGAAGGACCACCGGCACTGGGCCGAAAAAGGTAAACAAAGAAATAGGTCCACTAGCAGAATACACACGGCAACGCACAGCAACACCATGCCAACGTAATCATACCAACTCAAAATAATTAAGTAGATCAACAGTATTGTGACCATCAAGTGCGGCCGCATAACCACATCTTACCGAAATAATAGCACTTAGCAACTCATAGAGGTGAGAGTTTGACCGTCGCGAGTGACGACCGTGTGCCCAACAGAATAAGCCCAGCACCAATGACTTGCATGTGAACTGGTTAATGGTGAGGTAGACTTGCTCAGTATCTATCGCACTCTCTCCCCCACTCACCAGGCTCTGCTGTCAAGAGAGTATCATGAACAGCCGAGGTGACCCCAAACACACTGGTTGACAAAGCTCTGTAGCCCGTAGGTTTCCGCAGAATAGCAACGGCTAGGATCTCACGTCTGTGGGTGTCGTGGAGACCACATCAGAGCGGCGATATCGGACCTCAATCTCAGTTGTCGGACAAGCCACCCCATATACAGTAAGTGGGCTAACTCAATAAATGTCAACCGCAATTCCGAAATGCGTTTTCGTTTCGAAAAGATTAATTAGGTAGGGCTGTGAAACTGATCAGTCTGCGGCATAATTCTATAATAATTTACTTACCTCAGGATGCCGGCTTTCGAATAAACTTCCTTTCGGCTGCATGCAAAAACTACACTCTGTAAAAAATGACTAACTATTTAGCATGCATTTTTCTCATTGATATTCGATGCCCCTAAAAGTCTTATTATATTTCATGGAAAACATGCACAAAATTAGTCATTCTTTTGCCCATTTGGTAGACAATTACGTCTTCTTCCAATCTTATACTCGAAAGAAGGGTATAATTTGGTTTTCAAAAAGTTTTCAAATTCCCGAATAATTTTGAACCCGACCTGTCGCTGCACTTGGATTCAGGGTTTCCAGACTACAAGCTGTATATTTTTCGCGTACGGAAAACCACACATTTCTCTACGGTAATAAAAGGAGATCATATCGGGTACATACAATTAAGCAGTGGATTTGAACGAAATTGTAAACTTTACAAGCCACACTGGTAAATGCAGAGACATAAAGTTTTATGAAAGGCCATTTCACGCTATTAAAAAATCTCACTATTAGAAAGATTTTAAAACCGAATTATACACTTCTTTCGATAATAAAATTGAAAGATGACGTTATTGTCTACTGAATGAACAAAAGAATGAATAGTTTCATGCTTGTTTTCCATGAAATATAATTCGACTTTTAGGAGCATCGAAAATCAATGATAAAAATGCATGCTACAAAAGTAGTCATTTTTTACATAGTGTAGTTTTTGCATGCAGCCAGGAGAAAGTTCGTTCGAATGCCGGAATCCTGAGGTAGCTGAATTGTTATAGAATTATGCTGCATGATAATTGGTTTTACAACCCTACTTTTCGAAACGAACACGCATTTCGGAATTTCGATTGACATTTCATGAGTTAGCCCACATAATGTACACGCACAGTACTAAACACGAGGGCCAAGTCACCCTTGTCAGTTGGCAGCCTTCTAAGCCGCACACTTCGGCACATCGTGATATTTATGAAGCCCGTCAAACTAGTTGTTACGATGAGCGCCTTGATGTGTCGTCGGAACGAGTTCCCCAGGGCCAGTCTCATTCCTCTTTGCATGCACCAGCCCACCGCCCTGGGACTGGAGGCAGTGGTGGTGGTGGTGGTGGTGGTGGTGGTGGTGGTGGTGGTGGTGGTGGTGGTGGTGGTGGTGGTGGTGGTAGAGTTTTCAAGTGCAGGAGAAGGCTTCACATGTGGACACTGTGGCGAATCTTAGTGTTATCGATACCCACATGGCCAATGAGACCCATGCGGTGTCTTAACGTCCTTAGGCATTACATGTAGATGGGACGTGTGTGCCGGGTTTACGGGTACTGATTCATCAACCCTGTACGACGAATTCAAAAATGACCGACCGGGCATATGCGTGATGAGAAAGTGAGATTGTAGTAGTGGCAGTCTATATTGCCGGTGGTAGAGTTGGTGCCAGTGATGCTTTGTAGGTCAGTGGGAGTGTCGTAGTGGCGGGGAGAGTAGTTCAGGAAGACAACGTCCTGGATACACAGTTGCTCAACGAGGTCGACCAGTAGCCGAAATGTCCGTTGACAGCGTGAACACGGGTGCAGTCATTGAGCAACAATGTGGTATACCAACTCCTTACAAGGGTCTTCTCATCCATCTGGTTATGTATCACCATGTGAAAATGCATCATTGGTAGAATTTTTGTTTTCTTGAGCCTTTATAGGTGGGCAGTTGTTTTAAGAGGGAGTATGTCAGAATTCCGTCGTCCTAATGGCTCCGAATGTATTACTAGAACTTGGTTGATTTAAGTCTTCAAAGAGAGAATAGTTGGCTGCCTGGAAGTTTTTCATGTCATGAAGACATTCGAGACGTTCAAAGTAGATGTGCTAACCCACGAAATTTTAACCGAAATTCTGAAATGCGTTTTCAACTCGAAAAGACTACTTAAGTAGGATTGTAATGTTTATCACCGTCCAGCATAATCCCATAATGGTTTAGTTACTTCAAGATGCCGGCTTTTGAACAAATTTCTTTTCGGTCGCCTGCAGAAACTACACCCTGTAAAATGAGCACTTAATTAGCATGAAATTTTCTCATGAATTACCGATGTCCTTATAAATTCAAATACATCTCATAGGAAATATGCATAAAATAGTTATTTTTTACTTATGAATACAGTCAAAGGTTCTTCAGCAGATTAAACCATTCAGAATTTTACGATATCTTGACACACGTGAGGTTGGAGGCCACATCAATGTGCATTTATTCATTCACTTGCTCCTGTGGAGCAGGATACATAGGCCGCACAACGAGACGCCTGGTAAAGAGAGTACGTGAACATATGCCCGCCTGGCTAGACAGGGAGAGACCCGGTCGATTTCGAGTTCTATTCCCGCGCATTTAATCGATACGAACCACCGAGTCGATGCCAAGAAAGCATTTCAGGTTGTCTACCGGACACCAACATGCTTCTCTAAAGGCCTACGCCAACGGATACTAGCAACGGCAGAGGCAGTAGCTATACGGTTAGTGAATCCGGTGTTATGCTGTCAGAAAACTGACACAAGCGCTTTCGCTGCCGTGGCCAACGCCAACGCCAACCCCAAGTGATGAAGCCATGCCGCCTCAAATCCCTAATCACGATGATGGGTACTCCGTGTACTCAACCCAAGATCATTACTCAAAGACTCTCTTACCCCCCTCCCCTAGCCCTGACGACTAACACCCGTCGACCTTCTCATGCGGGCGGCGTGGGGATGATGAGTGTTAGTGACTTAATAGCCCTTGAGGCATCTATAAACACTGTTGATTTTGTACATTTTCATTCGTTTCATGTAATTGTATTGGCCTGAGGAAGAATTACCGAAAACGTGCGTTCGCCAACTTGACTTTTCAAGTGAGGTTTTGTCGACTTTATGGCAAAAGACAATTAATCCATTTTGATGCCAAATAAATGACCAAATATGTAAAAGTGCTAAGAAATTTTCCAATTAAGAGATTATTAAAGACCGTGAAATGACCGTTCATCAGACCTCGTGTCTTTGCATTTACTAATGTTGCATGCATTAGCGTACCACCCATACATGACGGCAGTTCGGCTGTTCCCACTGGTGATATTCATCGTCTGCTCCAAAGCAAGGTGTGAGCAGGGACGGTGACTTATGTGTGATAGTGGACTGCGATAACATCTACCGCACCCCCTCCTCCATCCCCACCTAGGCCCGGAGTCAAGAAGACCTTGGGCGGGAGAGGGAGCGGGTGGCTGGCATGGCAGAAATTCGCGCCCAAGAGCACCACCACACCTCCAGGTCCATGCTGTACACTGACCAGGTTTTTATCAACCAATAAAAACGGAGACGGCCGGGATCCTAGTTGGCGCGGTATGAATCTGTGCCTGGGCGTAGCACCACACCCCAATGTTGGCATTCGTTCTGGGTGCGCATCCCAGATAACACCTGCCGGACTCCAATCAAGACCTTGCGTTGGTCCAGCACATCTAGTGCGTGGATCGTTCCAGAGGCATAGGTGGCACAATACTACACAGAGGAATGGCGGACACAGACTTATTGGTTTCCCAAGGTAGACAAGCCTCAATTGGATGCCAGAGGTCACAAACGGGCAACCAATACTTCGGTATTGTCGGTATTCCTTCTCTGCATGAAATGTTCGTCGCAGTGCAACTGCCTGCGAGGGCTCTTGATTAAGCCCCAAGAAGCAGCTGTGATTCGATCGGTGGACGCACATCCGACATAAGTTTGTATTCTCGATCACAACCGGCAAGACAACGAGCCCGCGGCTCAATCGTAGACCGTCGGATGCAATAACACTCAATGGCCAGCAGTCGTGGGTCCAGAGCTCAGATTTGGGCAGGGCCGACTGACGACGCCTAAAAAACCAGAAACGGCTATCCCGGGCTACCTTGTCTTATTCAGTACTCCTTCTTGTACATAATGCCAGTTGCTATGCAAATGTTTTCGAGGGCCTCGAGGAGCAATTGATCGGCGAACGCATTTTTGTCCAAACGTGCAAGCCCTCCAGATTACTTAACATTTCTTCAACGTTTTTGCTTTTCCGCATGCTGGAAAAAGCATTTTGTAGAAACTTAATTTTGTAATGGACAAGTTATGGAATTTCCATTCGCACAAGATGCAACGGTTGAGCGTGAGTACAGCCAAAGATTCTTCAACAGATTAAACCATTCATAATATTACGATATCTTGACACAAGTGAGGTTTTATCGATTTTGTAGCAAAAGACAATTAATTCATTTTGATGTCAAATAAATGCCCAAATATTTAAAGATACTACTATTATGCTCAGTTTTTGGCTGACCATAAAACATGGTGCAAATGTCTCGGCCTTGACTATACACGACACCATTATGTATCCCTGAGAATCACCTGCCCTCTATAAAGTATGCGTCGAAAACTCATTTTTGAAAGCCTTTCCAAAGCGTATTTGCTACTGCACCTGTCGGTCGTCTTACTATAATTGCTGAACTTCCTTTGGGCACTTCATATATACATCGGTGTAGCCCGTAACTACACAACTTTCCTAATTAATCTTAATTATGCTGGTTCGCCTTAGCCTTACATGCCCATCTCGTGACTCCAACGCACACCCTGCACTCTTGTCTGGTTTCTCCCATTTTTTAGCTCTGCCATTGTTGCCGTTGTATTAAGTTAATAATCTCGAGGGCAACCAACAGGACAACGAGCCCATGGCTCAATGGTGGACTGCTGGATTTAATAACGCTCGAAAACCAAAAAACGCTGATTGAAGGCTCAAATTGACGACGCCAGAAATGGCCATCCCAGTCTGTCTTATTCAGTACTTCTTCCTGTATATGTTCCCAGTTGCTATGAAACTGCTTGCGATGGCTCTAGACTGGGACTCAAGAAACAACTGCAAGTCCAAATGCCAAAATCTGATTGGCGAAGGCCCTCCTTCCCATCATATATAATAGGCAAGGACTTTTACCAAGACCTGTAAGTTCTTGAGATCAGTTAACATTTCCTATACGAAAAGTTCCACATATCTCGCTCTTTTACCTATGCTACTTTTCTGCATGCTAGCAATAATATTTTGTATCGGACAGGTTATGTGATTTCCATTCGCAGCCAGAGGTTCTTTAATAGCTTAAACCTATCAAACTTTTGCAACATTTTGACACCAATGTGGTTATATTAATATTTTAACAACAGAAAAATGGGCTTTTTTAATACCAGTTTTCAGAAGGCCATAAAACACTACAAATGTTTCGGTCCATATTATAGGCGACACCATAAATTATTTCTGATATTATTTTCTGATATTATTTCTGATATTCCAGGCACCTCATGCGCACCTGGCATAATCTGCAATTATAAAATCTGTTAGAATAATTTCAATTTTTTATTTTTTAATTATGTTACGACTCATTAGCCTTATTTGCCCACCTCGTGACTCCAACACGCTCCCTGCATTCTAGTCTGGCTTTTTCCAATTTTTTACCTCTGCTATTGTTCCCGTTGTGTAAATGACAATAGCATGTCGTCATGGTGATTAGTTCACGTTAAAAAGTAGACAAGTTTCTTGGTGGGATAGGTCCCCTACCGTCCTCGACTGCGGATTCGGTCAGACGTGATGTCTTTTGTCAAAAAACAAAAGAGTTCTACGCTATTCTGCTGAAATGGCTTTACTGCACGTGGGGACAGAATGCTAACTTATCAACCTCACTGCAAAGCAAACTACTATGAATTCCTTTAAAGTACAGCTTGGAAGCTGATTTAAAAAACACGTCTGTAATTATTAATGACTGCTTCCTGCATTCCTAGAACTTGCTGCTCTTAATCTCCTTAGTAGAACCAACCCATTTTCAAAATAGAAGGTTTCGCAGGAAGATTTACTTCAAGTTGGGCGTTTACGTTTACCGACAGTGTCACTCCCCACGAAGTGGCTGATTGAGTTTGCCTTTTTTCGAGTTCATTTGGCAATACACGTGTGACATAAGTTACCGTATTGACGGCACAGGTTTTGGCAATAAACACGTGGTATGCAGTAGGTAGGCTAACTCATGAAATGCCAACCGAAGTTCCGAAATGCGTTTTTGTTTCGAAAAGGTTACTTAAGTATGGTTGTAAGACCAATCACTGTACGTATAATTCTATAATAATTCAGTTACCTCAGGAAGCCCGCTTTCGAACAAACTTCTTTTCGACTGCAAACAGGAACTACACTGTAAAAAGTGACTGCTTAAATAGTATGCATTTTCCCACTGATTTTCGATGCTCCTAATAGTCAATTACATCTCATGGAAAACATGTATAAAAATATTCATTCTTCTACCCATTCGGTAGGAAATTACGTCTTCTTTCAATTTTGTACTCGAAGCAAGGGTTTAATTCGGACTTCAAAACTTTTCCAATTCCCGAATAATTTTGAACCCGACCTGCCGTCACACTTGCATTTAGGGTTTCCAAACTACAGGCCGTATATTTTCCGCGTACGGAAAACCGTAAATTTTTCTACGGTATTCAAAAGAGATTATATGGGGCTCATAGTATTTAGCAGTGGATTCGACCCATATTATTTACTTTGAAAGCAACACTAGTAAATGCAGAGACGTTTTATGAACGGCTATTTCACGGTATTAAAAAATCTCATAATTGGAAACTATTTAAAACAAAATTAAACGAAGATGTAATATTCTACCGAATGACCAATAAAATGAATTTTTTGCATGTTTTCCATGAAATGTAATTGACTTTTTAAAAGCATCGAAAATCAGTGAGAAAATGCATGCCATAATATTAGTCATTTTTGCAGAGTTTAGTTCCTGCATGCGGCCAAAAAAGTTAGTTTGAAAGCCGGCATCCTGAGGTAACTGAATTTTTATAGAATTATGCTGCACGAGGATTGGTTTTACAGCTCTACTTAATTAATCTTCTCGAAACGAAAACGCATTTCGGAATTTCGGTTGACATTTCATGAGTTAGCCCACCTACTGTTCATTTGGCAATACACGTGTGGTATAAGTGACTGTTATGACGGCACAGGTTTTGGCTACAGGCCCAAACACTATCTTGTCGGTATTGTGCCGCAGCATGCCACGGCTGAGAGGAGTCCAACTAACCAGTTGGCTCATAAGTGTGCCGCCTATATGGTAAATTCTGAAACATGGGCATGTTACTGGCCATTTGTCAGTAGCTTGTGTGTATCACGCGCTTATTTATTCGTACCTGGTATATTTTGACGCAAATATTTATACCAACTTTTGGACTGAGCCAGTGGGGCTTGATTCGGCTTGATTTGCTCAAAGCTAGCGATTAGTTGCTGAGGAGATCAAAAAGGGGAACTTTCGGTTGATTACACAAGGATTTCTACGAAGATATTTTGAAGGCATTTAACGCACCGAATCGGGAGAAGTGTCTTTACCTGATCGGCGCCTAATGAAATGACCTTTTTCCCCAATCCATAAGATTGGATGGCGCCGTTTAGGCACTCGGCAAAAGACATTCTTCAGTGATGTGTGTATTTTGCAAGCGGAAATCTATCGCTATTTCCCATAACTGTGGAGTCCTTTAAGGTTCCATTTTATCCCTTCACCTCTTTTCCCTTAACACTCCTGATCTGAAATCACTAAGTGACTGCCTGTGTTAAATGTGCTGATGATATGCTGGTTGGGCACCCTATCGAAAATCATACTCATCTTCAGTTTCTGATGGATGGCTTGGATAATGTTTCTGCATGATCGTTGGAAAATCGTCTCCTACATAACAATAGAAAATACCTTCTGCCATTCCTGAATCCTTGGACATTCTCCCAAAGAGACATCCTATTTCTGGCATCACTCTGTCCTTAAATCTCTCATCCGCCTTTCATACTGAGGTCGTTATCATTATAATTCGCAAACTCCTTTATTACATTCGTTCTTTACATCCCTATCACACACCTCAACCCCTAATCGGCACATTCATTTTGAACCACATTATCTATACTCTCCGGTTGTTTTTACTGTCTTCCTTAAAAGTATAAGCTCAATTTAGAGCGGTTACGTTAAATGCTTTTTTTCTGCTAGTATTTCTTATATCTTCTAAGTCGATATTATAATACAAGAACATTCACAACGGTCAAGAAATTTGCTGATCGAATTCTAAATGATGTTGTCTATCCCTTCAATCCGAACTAATCGCTGCGGAGTCCTCCCGTCCCATGCATCCTGGCTCCCTTGAATTCCGTATTGCCATTTCTGGCACAATACCTTACGTGGAAAGAAAGCGAAGTACAGAAACTGGGATATGAATTGTCCCCGTAATAAGTACTCAATTCCAGAAAAACCTATTACCTCTTTTGTTATTTGCAAATTTATATCCTGGTTAAAATGAATGGAACTGATTTTGTTGGAAATGATACTTTCAAAATTAGGTGTGCTATTCTCTCTCTTTGTCTCCCTTATCTGCAGGTTGAAAATCACCCTGGGAATGCAATATCCATACAGGAGTATCTTTAAAGTGGACCAGGGATAACTGTCATCGGCCATTCCTGCCAAGAGTTAGACGTGCCCGCTCTGAGATAGGTATATTCGTGATCCGACATTGTCAAAGGTGATGCGTCTTCAATTTACTAGCAAAAAAAATAGTAAAGTAACGCTCAAACTGTTATTCACTCTGGAATACCATCAGTTTACTTCACATCATCCTGGTAAATAAGCTATACAGTGAAAAGCTGCCGCATCCCCGGTAGAAGTAGAATCTCAAATGTGCACCAAAAATACCTTATGTTCTCTCCTGCTGATCCCTAAAATGGGCTGTGCTAAAAATGGGCTAAATTGAAACTGGTATCGGATTGGCTCACGAAACGCGTTGATCGGGTTGCATCAATACCGCGCAATTTCTTGACTATTACTGCAAATATATGGGAATCTAAGCAGTCAAGTCCGACGAACGTACATTTCCGAGTATTAATCATCGGGCCTGTACAGTAATATAAGGACAAAATAGCAAAAGTTGAACGGTCGATGAAGATCAATATTGGGGGAGAGGGTTGAAGGGCGTTCGGAGCTCAGTGGTCAGATTCTAATTCTGTCTGGGGTACAGGAAGGGGGCGGGGGAAGGTGTCTGACTACTAGCTGTCCGTCTTTCGGTGCCATAACTCGACGTGGCAGGTGTGAACATGTATGCTGGGTTTGTCTTTACCCAAGGGAGCCTTAGCGCCTGTACAAACATTTTCTGCGAGCAAAAGGCTGGGTCGGCTAACCCTATGGCCTCTGCCATCGCAAGTCGCCGACACTGTATAGATGACATGCATTCGAAGTAGGCCCTTACACCGTGTCAGTCATTGCGCCCAATCTCCTAGCCAGACGGTCTACAGGCTCGGAAATTTGACTAGTACATGGGATATAGAAGAGCGAGTGAGGGCGACGGTTGAAATGGGCACATTACTCCCTGAGATAAAACTGACACGTTTAAATCGCGGCTTAGAAGACTGCCAGCTGATGGGATGATTCGGCCCTTCCCAGGACTGAAAATTAGTCTTCAATGGCTCTTTCTCAATGTGCCTCCTGTAACAATCTAACGCACGTGAAATCCGGACCGCCATTACTGCGGCTTAGTACACACAGTGTAGGGCAGATCGTGTGTGGAACGCGTAGACGAGCTGTTTAGTTATGTCAGTCACTGCGCCCACCTCACCTCCGGTCGCGTTTACGTCACCCCGCCATCGGAGCAAGGCGAAAGAGGAGAGGGAGAGTGCAGTAGACGCTGCACAAGTCCGTGGATTTTAATATAAAGACAGTGTGGTTTGCCACCAGACAAGTAAAAGAAAGCATATTTTATGCATGTTTTCTATAAAATATATTCGAATTTTTACGACCATCCAAGGTCCATGCGAAAGATGCATGCTACTTCAGTAATCATTTTTTACCGAGTACGGTTTCTGCGGGAGTTCAGAAAGAAGTGCATTCAAAATCCGACATCCTGGCGAGTCTGAAATACTATGGTATTATGCCACATGACAATTATTATTACAACGCCATCTTATTCATCTTTCCTAGTCGAAAACGCATTTTAGAATTTTGGCCAACATTTCATGAGACGGGTCACGCACTGTAGGTCTCCTCGGATCTCCTCCGACATGTCCTCACTCAGTGGGAAATAAGTTAAAAGCATTAAGTTCACATTTGCATGATACGGACTTAAGGTCATCCATGAATTCCGTCGTCTTGCTTCGAGTCATTTCCAGCAACTCAAAAACCATTTTCGCCAAGGGATCCTAGACCAGAATCCCACATTCCAGATTTGAACGGAGAAAGGTTTTGTATACTTTTATAGAAAACTCCTTATTTATAAAAATTTTTAATCGATAAGAGAACACTAGTCGCCATTTTGACCGTCCTGAGAGATTACGGGGAGCGTTTCAGGGACTAAAAATGTCGTGATTCCGATATCCTTTTGTCCTATCACGTTTGACAGGCGTCTTCCGTCGGGGAAGTTGCACGTTGAGTTCGCCTTCTTCTTTTCGGACTGTAGTCGAGTAAATCCTTTCTACAGAGTCCGTCCACCATTATTGCATTTGGTCCTTTGCAGTATTTTCACTTCATCTGAAAAAATGAATCCCGGACAGTCGAGTCCACTCTTGTATTGACATCAAATAAAGCCTTTAATGACCCAAGAACAAAACCCTGATGTACTCCCTTTGCACTGCCACTGCGTACAGACTGCAATCGGCTAATCAAGAAGTCCCCCACCCAGCTTCGTAGGTTCCTCCTTATCCCACGCTCTTGGGCCTTGTAGAGAAACCGACTACGATGAATACTATTGGAAGGCTTCCTTGAAGTCGATGAAAACGACATCTACCCTTGTGTCCTAATCTAACGCGCGGAAGGCCACTGCCCACTATCCCTAACTTCACAACAAATGAAGAAAGTCGATCGAAGAGGATAAGGAAAGTTTAGCGATACTCTAACTGGTGTCATGATAAAAGTGAAGTTTGTTTTAAATACTAAGGAGGGATAGCGATTTACTATCGCCAAGTATGATATCCCAAAGGATAAGATGCTTGCAACCAAATGGGAAAGAGTGTTTATAGACGAAGGAATTAAGAGGAGGAATCAAAAGGGAGATATTCGAACTCGGAGGCAACAGACATTTCGGAAGAAAAAAGGACGTAAACAAACACCGCTTTCTCAGCTAAAACAACCAATGAGAAGGATGATGATGCGTCTACAGGGAGTGGCAAAACCGCTAACCAGCCTCCAGTGCAAAAACCGGGCGACTATAAGAGGTCAGAAAACGAAGAATTATCTCGGGAAATCCCAAAAAATCACCGCAAGCCAGAGTGCTGGTATGAAGGGACGGAGTTTGAGCACAGCGCAAGCAACGACCGAGAAGTCTCGGTAAGCGCAGGCACATGCGTTGACTTTCCCGCCCTATACCCCCTTGAATCAGAAAGCAGCGACAGCTAGGATAACTATGATGTAATTTCTGAAAATAAAAAACCACAGGGTCCTCAAGACGATCGCAGTAAATACATAGATATCAATGACATGACTGAATCTACTTCCGACACCCCAAAGGTAAGAATACACGATGACGTAGGAATTATTCCAAAATATCGTAAGTCCTTTTTAAAGGGGGAGTGAGACAGTCACCGCTCTAAATGCCCTTTTGAATGGTCCGAATAAAAGGCTCAAAGGATGGGTCAGGCCAACCAAGACCACTTAAGCTTCCTTTCAAGAACGAGGAATAGGCTCAGCTACGGTTGAGCAGGAAAATCCTACTCCGAACCGCTCACCTAACGGTTTTTCCAGCGGGATTTTTCACCTGCGGAGCGGGAGGATGGAACAATGCTCAAGACAGAAGTCGTCAGGAGACCTAGGCTGGGCGAAAGCAGCCTCAGAATCCGGGGTAATTTCTCCGGAGGAAGTCCACGACGCTGCGTGTGATGTGCAGTGAGACTACAATCAAGCAGCGTTCGTTGCTGCAGAGTAATTCGGCGCAAATGGCGATAAACACATTGACATTCAGTTCGAGCAGATTGCAAAAAATTCGAACGGAGACAGTGGACTGGATATGGCACATGAAATATTTTACAATCCCTATACAACTACCGTACGAAAATCTTCCCGGACATAACTCCCCTCCCTTTATAAAAAAGCGCGTAGTTCTTTACCCAGAAACCAGATTAATTAAGCGTACGGGTATCTGATATGCATCCGAACGTTTTTCCCCTTACAGAAACTTGGTTACATGCGGAGATATTGGATGGCGAAATTGCTATCAGTGGATACCAACTCTTCCGGCAATGCTGACCGCAAAGAAGGTGGAGAAGTAGCCATCAACGTTAAAAGAGAAATCATCGTATGCGAATGCAGACTTGCTTGCCCACGTGACTACGAAACGGTCCGATTTAAACTCAATAGGCGTGGAGTACCAAATATGAATTTCTTGACCATATACAGGCCGCTCATGCAAACCCCCAGAGGTTGATGAGGCAATGTTTGGGTTGATTAAAGAAGTGGCCCAAAACCAAGAAGCCCTGAGAGCCGGAGATTTCAACGCACAGATAAGTAATTTAAACAATTAGACAATAAACGGCTCGGGTAATTTAGTTTATTTTAATTTGTGTAAGGATAATAGGTAAGCCCTTTGAAAACCCTATTGGTTTCATGTCATTTCGTTATATACAGCTGTACACGAACAGTGAAAATTGTCGCTATTAAAACGGTACTTGCATGATTTAAGTAGCACTGTTTTAAAAGCAACCTGGCCAGGGATTCACGGGGTATTTAGCTCAGATTCAGACTGCCAAGGGAAAGAAGGGGACATATTTAATAATTCGAGCGTTTCTTAAAGAGCTGCTGGGACGTTGCCTCCACGGCTGATTTAGGGAGATCATGCCATTTCTCTGCTATCCTTTCCGCGAAAACTTCAGATCGAAGGTTCAGCCTGGATATCCACGGCGTTTTTTCAGCCTTGGTGCACTGCAGTGCAGGTTTCATGTTGCGCTGAATCCAAATACCGAGATCCTTCTTCGAAGATTCTGCGGGAACAGTTATGTCTTTCAGGTGATTTGCCTTCATGTTGCCATTTGAATGGCAGTTAGACGCAGATGAAATATGGCACACTTTTGCACACTGAACTCCAGGAGCCATTTCTTGGATCACGTTTGCAGTCGGTGCAGATTACTTCGGAGGTCTTTTTGGTCATTCGGCGCTTAATGACATTCCAGGGCTTAGAAACGACAGCAAAGATATTTTTATCGCAGATGTTTTCTGAAGGCTGTCGCTAATGTAAAGAATGAGGAGTAGGAGTCAGAGAACCGAGCCGTCCCCCTCAAACGGGCCACCTGGTAGATGCGCCGGACCAACAGGGGGCAATAACAGATTTCGACGGGCGTATTTGGATTCGCAAACCATAACAAATGCCAACATTTCGGGGCGCGGTAGCAGACCCAGTTGCCGTTAGTTGTGGCGCACACTGGGACCCCTGCCGCTCCCGCCCTCATCGTTGTTGGTGGTTAAAAACCTGGTCATTTGCTGTGTATACCAGGGGATATGGAGTGGAGCGTCAAGGTGCGGGCTTGACCGTAACATTCGCCTTCGGTCTTCTTGATTCTGTCTTGACAACGGGTCAAGGTGGGGAGGGGGATGGAGTGCGGCAAATGCTGCGCGAGTCTACTATCATTATAAACTAATTCACGCACAAGTCACCGTCCCTGCTCCCACCTTGATGTGGAGCACACGGTGGGCATCGTCGGCAATGACTGTCGAACTGTCGTCTGACGCATCCTCTCAGAAGATCTCCCGGGTGTCGAGGACGCTCAGTTTATGCAGAAGTTGTCTGCGCGGGACAGTATCAAATACTTTATGGAAATCGAGTGTACACTGTATTGGCCGAAGACGTCAAGGCTAGCATACACACACACACGGTCGAAAAGATCACCTAGGGCAAATTTCCGGTTGTGTAACACTGGACAGAGTCCTTAAACACCACATCGGACATGCATATAGGGATATAATAAGAAAAGGGTTCATGGCGTATGAAGTCTGTGTTACGGTTAACAAACGGATAGAATAGAACATGAGGAAAATTATAAATACAAGGAGATGGCAAGTTATTATACAAATTGTTCATTTGGAGTGGGAAGTTACCACATCATATCAGCTAGAAACCAGTGAGGATTGCAGAACAGTCGACAACTGAGGGTAGAAGTCTGGGCGTGTGCTGACGATAGAGAACACAAGCAACGAACGGACAGTGAGAACAGGGGACGCAATGTCAGCGGTTGTGAGGGAAGAAATGCCAGTCACCTTCTCTGGCAGACAATATCACCATTCAAACAACCCAATGCCATTCCTGCTCCGTTAAATAACCTCCACCCGAGTTTCAGCAATATCCTAAGTGCTGATGGAACTGTTCCATATAGGGGGATGGTGTGTACTCCTCTCCAGCCAACCGCTGTTGCCGATGTAGCGACCGAAGACGTCAAGGATAGCACATATCGAGGCAACGAAGCACTGGGAATGAATCTTAGCTAACACCGAGCTGGAGAGCTGTTAAACGGATCATCATTCTCATTCAAGCAAAAAGAATGGAAAAGTTAAACAGTGTGAAATATATGCACTAGAAACCAGGAATAAGATGCATCGGAGAATGATAAATAACTCACAGATAGATGAGAGCCGCAGCAGGTATGATAATCCGCCTGGATGGAAAGGTGGTGTCAATATGTCTGCTAGGCAACCGGTGGGGGTAGCAGCGCAGTGAGTGACTGCAGAAGAGGGCCGTGGGAGGTACCGGAGTAAGGAGAGAAAAAGTTGCGATGTGTTGGAGGGAGGGGGTCGGAGTAATAGCGGGAAGGGCGTCGGCTATTTTCACCAACAAACGGTTACATCGAGTACACCCTAGATTCGCGCCAAAAGGGCTCATGCCATTCAAACAAATCTGCGCAATTCTAGGTCCGTCACAACACGACATCGGCCTCGATCATCTAAAGCCCAGGTCCAGAACTCCAGACAAGTTAGCAGATTTGAGAGGCAGAAACGTTTTTTCCGCAAGCCATGCTGAAAATTCTGTAGGGTGTTATCTTTTTCACAAAACTGCTGTTCAGCACTATTTACTGGAAATTCCATCGTTTTCACGAGAGGCGAGTCAAGGTAATAGGCCTGAAGTTGCTGGCTGCTATTCTACTAAATCCCTTACATAAGAAAACGGGATTGGTTGTTTTTCATTACGGGGTAGTCCTTCTGTTCTCCTTGGCGGCTCAGAGAGAGTCGGAAGAAGCTGTTACAACTCCTTTGATAATTGCTTAGACATCAGTCCAGGAATCCCATCGGATCCAGGAGATTTGTCTGGCTTAATTTGACTGAGGACGCGCCTTACTTCTTCAACGGAAAGGCAACGATTTTAGCGACAGCGGTATCTTGGACCACTTGAAAATGCCGATTTCCTTGGCCCATTTAAAATTTTGATTATATTCAGAGGACTACACGTAAGAACCGGTCGAAAAAACTGAGATAGTAATAGTACTTACTATAGCCCTTCGAATGAAGCGGGTATTAGGCTGATTGAACCCAAATCCGTCAATTATTCAATCATCTTCTTGGTGACAGTACTTCTTTATGTCTCGCTGAGTTGTTCTTCAAAAAAACCAGCCTCGATCTCATCCGAAGTCTCTATATGATATTTTGAATTGGTTTTCATCCGCATGGCGTTCCGATATCTCTTCTGCGCCGCGTAAGTTAAAGCTTCCGCCGGCCGCTCGCAGGTCTCCTAGCAGACTTTCTCCGCCTGTCTGTGTGCATGTAAGCGGCCTTCGTTTCTTTGGACCGTACAGAGGTATGTGGTGTCCTCCTGAGACGTTTCTTTATTTATATAAGTGATAAGTAAGATTTATAACTTCTTTTCCTCCATTCTGGACCTCTAAACTCCTACTGCATCTTCGAAAGTTGTCAAATAAGTCTGAAACATGACGTACAGGTTCCGTCGTCGTATGAGACATCCATCAGACTCATTAAACTTTTTGTCCGCTTGACGGGCATAAATCTGATAGCAGGGCACCACACACTGCAGGCATTAATATTGTTTTTACATGGTCCATCATTTATTTAACTAAGCCTCCGCGTATCACTGGTCTAATGGTAACGTTATCCGTCGTGCCGATCGACTCCTAGTGTTCGATTGCGGTCTGGAGTGGGTATTTTGCACAATGTTCTAGAGTCATTTGTCCGATCACCATTATTGAGTAAAAAAGTTCAAACGTCTTTTTAAGAGGTTTGAGGCGAATTTTCAACCTGATCAACCTGGACTCTTCGAACTGGCGAATAATCTCTTTCTCGTAAAGAAATTCTCGTGTCCAACAAGTACCAGAGGGACTCAAAGGCCAAATCATCTGGACCTCGTCCTTACAAAAGACCTAACTAATGCCGAGTAACTTAGGTCAAAATTACCGCCTGACCATGCCGTGCTGTTTCGAAAATACTGCTCACTCAGCCATCAATTGGGACAGCTGAGTTTCGACTGAATTTCTGGCGAGGAAATTTTGCTGATATGAAAAGGTTATTATAGTAATTAACTGCTGGTTCATTCTAATTGGATGTCCGGATGTCAATTTAAGCTTTTGGGAAGGTACGTAGCATCCATACAACCTTGGGACTACGGATAAATTCGCACAAAGCAAAACGACATAAGGTCGAATATCCTTAGGTCGCGAAAGGAGTATCAAACACGGATTATAGAACGAGCTGTCAATAATCCAAAGTTCTCGTCAGCTACATCAACTGCCGTTTAAGAAGAAAGAAGAAAATCACAGTGCTGAAAGGAGATACAATTAGGACATTATCGAAGAGAATTGTAAGGCTGAATACTTAAGCCGCTTAGTCGCATTCGTTCCCCAGATAAAACGAAGTTCAACCAGGTTGACATTTACATTGGAACAAACGGTGCAATAATGGAAAGCATAGATTTCATGGGAAAGGATGTGGGGAAGGAACTTCTTCTGTTTCGAGAACGTAAGTTCCCAAGTCCGGACAAAATGCCGCCAAAATTTCTAAAGAAGCTTGCTTACGGGCACTTCCGACCGGTTTCACATATTTCTCAGTTGTCCTTTGACCGAGGAATTGTCCCTTCCGATTAAAAGATGACGAACATATATCCCATTCAGAAGGTTGGACCAGAACAAGTGCTAACAACTACCGGACAGTAAGCCTAGCATGATTTGTTACAAAGTGGCTAGGGGGATCATCAGAAAATCCACTACTAAGTTTATCGAAGACAGGGATTTCTTCCAAGGAGATCAATACGGCATCTGACGAATCCATTCTTGTTTGACCAGCATGCTTTGCTCAACGAATCAATGGACCACTAGTTCGATGAAGACACAAGTGCCAGCGTCATCTACATTGACTTCAAAGAAGTCCTTGAGTGTGTTCCACCTCGCCGCTTACTCCACGAGTTTCTGGAGTCCGGAATAGGGGAGAACCTACTAAACTTGGCAGATGGCTTCTTGATCGGCTGTTCGCATTGGAAACACAGAGTCAGCATCAGTGCCAGTTGTACGTGGGGTACTTTGGGGCTCTGTGCTATGGTCAATACTGTTTTAACTTAGGGCAATGACTTCATGAATGGATGTGAATGCTATGTAGTCATGTTAGCAGATGACATCAATATATGGCAGGCAATCAAATTAAATAGTTATAAACTGGACCTTTAAGAAGTATTTAACGGCCTATGGGAACAGTCCGATAGATGGCTTCTTAAGTTTAAGTTCACTTTAGTCCAGTCCGAGAAAAACCGCCGATAACTGAACATTTGAAAGACAGGCTGTGTACATAATTGCATGCGGAAAGCAGGCATTTGTCTTTTAGCCAAAATGGGTAAATATGAACGGGTACTCCTTTTGAGAAACGTGTCACACTTCTATTTAAAACGAAGGAGAGCCCAAATGGAAATGATCGTCAATGCCTCCTTGACAGAAGAAGCCTCGTAATAACCATTCAGTCTTCTCTGTAACCCTCTTTTCAATGCGCAAGGGCGAGAAAAAAGGCAACGGGTGTTCATCTTGCCAGCTAATGAACGTTCATTGATATAGATATGAAAATATCTGGAAGAGTATACGGAGGTTCATCATTAAAGAATGGAACTTAGGCGTGATGTCCATGGCCAAAAAGTCATAAGTTGCTGGAAAGTTTTCAAAGAAGGGCGACCGATTTCGTTAAGGGCCTCAAGACTTAACCTTACAAATGGTGACTTGATGCGCATAAACCATTTCCTCTTGAGCACAGGCAGATGCAGGGCGACCTCATCAATGCCTACGGGACTGTCAGCAATCGGGACTGTGGCCTGTGCTTCGATTACTTGTTCGCGTTGGTCACAACGACACACAAGCGTGGGAACTCAGTCAAACGTCGGGAGGCTGATCCCACCTAGATGTGCGCGCGTACTCGTCTTAACGACGAGTTGTTTGTGGCCGCAATGGAATTCCGGAGGAAATAGTAATGGCAGGCTCAACAGGGACGTTTTAACAAAAACGGGATACATATTTCCTTTAAAAACACCGTCCAACTGGGCGAAAAATCTATGTTACAACACACCGGTGCGTTGCACATACCTGCTGCTAATTCGACTGACTACTATTTCGTAATTCTTATTAACCCAAGTGTGAAAAACTCGACGCCTAGGTGGGATTTGAATCCACGCAGGAAGGGGAAGGCTTAAGTACAACCAACGCTCTAACCACTTGAGCTACGAGGCCCTGCCGGACAACTCGAGTTTAACCACATTTGGGTCAAGTTACCCGCCCAACCTACTGCAACGTCTGGAATCCACAAATCTGATACAGTAAGTTGACTGCTCAGGCAGGATTTCCTAAGTAATTCTTCTATAATCCACCAGATTACTTCCAGGCTCACGTAGCTCATGTGGTTAGAGCGTTGGCTGTACTAAAGCCTTCCACCTACTGTGTGGGTTCGAATCCCACCGAGGCGCCGAGTTTTTCACAGTTGGGTCAATATGACTTATTCAAAATCTCTCAAAACATCTATGAATTACGTGAGCCTGGTAGTCATTTGGTGGATTCTAGATCAACTACTTAGGAAATCCTGCTTGGACAGTCAACTTACTGTATCAGATTTGGTAGATTCCATGCGGAAAACTTGACCTAAATGTGATCAAACTCGCGTCGTCCGGCGGGGCCTCGTAGCTCAAGTGGTTAGAGCGTTGGCTGTACTAAAGCTTTCCCCCTACTGCGTGGGTTCGAATCCCACCGAGGCGTTGAGCTTCTCACAGTTGGATCGATATGAATTATTTAAAATCTGCCAAAGCATCTATGTTTTTCGTATTTGACATTATCCCCAACAATTGCGGGCTGCAGTCCCACACTTTTAAAATATTATTCTATAAAATCGCATGTTATCTGCGACACTTTGGTGGCCTGTTTATACGAAATTGAATGTTGCACGTAACGCATTCAATGTGGCCTTCAAAGACATTGCCTACTACCCTTTACTGTGCTAAAATATACTGAATTGATTTAATGAGTTTCAGACAACTTAAGAGTCTATGGGTTTTAGCTAACAAAAGACTTGGTGCACAAAAAGTTGGGAAAATAGGAGGCTAGGTCCAGTTTCGGCTCCATTAGCCGTTATAATGTGCGGTTAATTAACTGGCATCTGTTTAAGTCCGAAGATTATAAGTGTCCTTTTCGTAAATAGCGCGCAATGCGTTAGGTGTACAAAATTTTTGGCGACACGATAACGTTGTCCCTGCCACTTCCAAACATCTGGGCGAATTATACGCGCGCGGTTTGAATTTTGAGGAGCAAGAAGGGCATTTTCAATCGAGTTCCTCACTGGAAACAGTTGGTCCGGCATCAGAAATTGGATTTTCAAACGCATTGTTGCCTACTACCCTCAACTTTGCTGTTATCGTTGCCCTCATCGTACGACTAGGACACTTTTCTGCAATTGCTGGCAATCTGAGCGTAACCAACACAGCCTACAAATCCTTCATATCGTCTCGAATTGTCCACCGTACCTTGGGAACAGGACCTACTAAAGGCTGAGTCGATAATTTCTACACTGCTTGTTGAGCTGCTTAGATTTGTACTCCTGGCATATTACCAAAAAGTCATAGTTAAAAACACCTCCAGGCCTTGCTTTCTTGAGATTCGCCGACAAACCCAACCATACACGCAGTTTTCTCTATTTGGCCCTAGGCGACGTTTTTCCTTCGATTCCTGTGGCCTGCTCCTTTTCCATAACTTCACAGCATGACTGAAGTACGCACTGACGTCCGCAAAATGGATCGGTGTGTGGAATCGATCCAGCGATCACCCCTTGCTTAGTCAAGTGCGCTAATCCCTACGCCACCGTAGCACGTCGGCGAGCGGTATCACATAGTCTACTTAACTGTATGGACGCAGAAAATGCAGGCCAAAGCTGCAGTGGATGCCAGATTCTAGCCGCCAAGGTCAACTATCTTGAGGAAGAAATCACAAAGATAAAAGCCCAGTTGCGATGCAGTCTAGACCAAGCTAACGCTAGCACTTTGCTTACTGGACGAGTAACCAGAAGTAGGGCAAAAGCTCCCAGCATAATAGGAACGCCAGCACCTATTATAGCGGCCCCAGAAGGAATAGCTAAAAAGCGAGAAAATAACGACCAGAAAGGCAACCCAAAAACTAAGGAGAAAAAGAAATCCAACTGTAAAATGGCCGAGAAAACGGACGGCTACTTCCGGAAGATGCCTCTTTAGCGGTCGAAGCAGAGACATTGACAGATGCTCCGCCCCTCATGACAAATGGTGTGCGTTCAAACACCTTTGCTGACTCTCAGAAACAGTCCGAGCTTGATAGACCTAGTACGAGCGGTGGAATCGATTCATCCATCACAGCCACAGATTTCTCTCCGCAGTCTTCTCCGCCAAGTACTTCTTCCAAGATTGTCAACATAAGAGTCAAACAAACAGACGGCGTAAGCGCATCTGCTCCACCATCACCAGCGCGTAGTCCCAGAGCGTTACGTCATTTAGGGAACCACAATTCCGTAGAAAATAAAAAAGAGACCGACAGAGAACAATGTCTTATTATTCAGGGGCTCCCTGAATCAAGTGCAATTACTCCCAAGGAGCGAATTTTGGAAGACCTATCACTCTTCCAAGGTCTTCTCAATAATATTTTGGAACCCACGGAGGCTACTGAAGTGATCAAAGCCTTCCGCCTTGGAAAACGAGCAGATAATCCATCAGTGTCCACTCGACCCCGGCCTCTTAAAGTTGTGCTGACCAGCAGCGACCAAGCCAGTCTCATTTACTCCAGGCGATTCAGGATTAAAGGCTCCAACCCCGGTGTTTTTTTTCAACCGGACTACTCGCCAGCCGAACGGCTCAAGCGTCGTCAGCTGGTTCTAGAAGTAAGAAAGAGGCTCAGCGAGGGGGAGAACAATTTAGTAATATACAAGAACCAAGTACGGCGGCGTCCGTCACTCTTCCTTTGGACAGGTCCTGTCCGAATGACCGCGCAGCCGACATATTAAGTGAAGGCGCTAACCCAAATGTAACCACATCTTCCGTCAGCCGGAAATTGAAATTCTTGTACACCAACGTACAGAGTTTGCTATCAAAGTTCGACGAGCTGAAGATCCACCTCTGCGACCTATCCCCTGACGTAATCTCTCTTACAGAAACCTGGTTGACCCAACACGTGGACGACCGTGAGCTGGCCTTGCCTGGCTACCAGATGTTTAGAAGGGATAGGGAAGGGCGTCAGGGAGGAGGCGTACTAACGTATGTAAAAAATGGGCTAAATGTATCAGACAAGACCGATAACTTTTCGTGCAGTTCCGAGGCAATCTGGTTGCCTATTAAAGTGCCGAGCTCGCCTAGCCTCGATGTCCTGACAGTTTATCGACCGCCGAGACGGGACAACATGGCCGACGCTCGCCTGCTGGAGGAGCTCGAAAAGTTCGCTACGCGGCCGGATATCCTAATCATGGGCGACTTTAACGCGCCCCATATTGACTGGAGCTCAACCCATGCAAATAGCTCAGAACAGACCTTCGATAAGAGTTTTCTGAACACGGCATTGAAGCTATTTCTCACTCAACACGTCATGTTACCAACTAGAGTACGCGAAAGCCAACAAGCCAACTGCCTTGATCTTGTCCTTACGAAGTCACAGGACAGCATTGATGAGGTGTCATGCCTACCCCCCTTAGGTAAAAGTGACCACGTCGTTCTTATATGGGATTACTCGCTTTTTTCCATGCCCAAGAAACCCGGGGCAGTTAGAAGAAACCTTTGGCGCGGGGATTTCGATCAAATGAGGGCTGAAATTTTACGCATTGAGTGGGAGTCCATATTTGTTGGGAGCATACTCGAAGACTGGCAACGGTTCCGAGCAATTCTGCACGAGCTGTTCGTAAACCACTGTCCGCTTTCACGGAAGAGGTTAACTAACAGACCTCGATGGCTTACGCAAGCCTTGAAGAATGAAGTGAATAAAAACGACGGCTGTGGAAAAAATCGCTTTCTGACAGGGGCCCCACATCTATATGCGCGTACAAAATTCAAAGAAATCGAGTCAAGGGTCTTATCTTCAAAACCAGAAAGGAATTCGAACGGGATCTGCTTAACCGTGCCGCGGAGAACCCTAAATTATTCTACGGTTACATTAGGCAGTGCACGCGGAACAAGGACCCAATACCCCTGATAAGGACTGCTGAAGGCGAACATCTCACTGACGACAGGGCGAAAGCTGATCACCCTTCAGAATTTTTTCGGTCTGTTTTTAGTAGCGAAACAGGATTCAACCCTTCGGCCCTTCAATCCTTCGAAGACAACCCAATTATAGAGACCGTCCAGTTCAGTGAGGGTATGGTTCTGACGGAGTTGCTGAGGCTAAAGGAATCCAAATCACCAGGTCCCGATGAGATTCCGGCGAAGATTTTGAAGGAACTCGCCGGTGAGTTGTCTAAGCCACTCTCCATGCTTTTCCATACATCCTTCGAGACCGGATATCTGCCACCCGACTGGAAGTCGGCGTGGATTACGCCGCTGTACAAGGGCGGAAGTCGGGTCTCTGCGAACAATTACAGACGGGTCAGCCTCACCTCCATTTGCTGTAAGATTATGGAGAAGATAATAAAGCAACAACTAATGCAGTTCCTTGAACAAAACCATTTCCTTTCCGATTCTCAGCATGGATTCCGAAAAGGCAGATCCTGTGTGACAAACCTGCTCTACTGTCTGGAACACTGGACTAGGGCTGTTGATAGAGGAGATATGGTGCATGCTATCTATATCGACTTTAAAAAGGTCTTCGATAGTGTGCCTCACCACCGCCTTCTATCCAAACTTAGCCGTGCAGGAGTGCGGGGTAAGCTTCTGATGTGGATTCGGAGCTTTTAAATCGGCCGCTCTCAAGTCGTCCACGTCGGTGACCAACAATCTGCCGAGGTAACCGTTAAGAGTGGTGTTCCCCAAGGCTCTGTTCTTGGCCCTACGCTGTTCCTCGTATACGTCAATGACTGCGCAAACGAACTGAATTGCGATGTCGCAATGTTTGCCGATGACATAAAGATCTGGAGTACCATACGAAGCGAAGTTGGCGAGGCGCGACTGCAGACAAGTCTGGACCACCTCGAGCAATGATAGAAAGACTGGCTTCTACCGTTCAACGTAAACAAGTATACTTTCCTACGCGTCGGCAGAACCAGTTCTCCTAACCACACGGTCTACCGTCTGACTGGTAAACCACTGCAAGAAGTCGACGCCCAGAAGGACTTCGGTGTATGGATCACAACCTCGCTTAGGCCTTCGCTGCAATGTTCAAAGGTGGCCAAGTCGGCGATGTCCATGCTATACCTTGTCAAACGGGCGTTCTCCTCCTTCGATGAAGACTGCTTCGCCAAGGTCTTTCAAACTTTTGTGCGACCGCATCTGGAGTTTGCTATCCAAGCATGGCGACCCTGGACCGCTAAAGACTTGGGCATACTCGAAAAAGTTCAACGGCGAGCAACGAAACTTGTATCTGGGCAGTGGTCACTACCCTACGAAACACGATTAGCTAATCTTGACCTCTTTCCTTTGAGTTACAGACAGCTACGTGGGGACCTGATACAAGCTTTCCGCATCGTGCGCAATCAGGGCTGCTCTCTCGCGTTTGGAGACTTCTTCGAGTTGGCGACTACGACTAACCTGAGAGGCCATCCACTCAAACTGCGTGTGGCTGGGGCCCGGCAAGACACCCGAAAGTTCTTCTTCTCCAACAGAGTGGTTGCAGCTTGGAATGCCTTGCCTGAGGATGTTGTTATGTCAGGCTCGGTAGATACTTTTAAATGGAGACTAGATCAGCATTGTAGCGCGCACCACAATAACGCCGGACTACGGCCACCTTGACAGCCAACGCGGACAATTCAGTGTTAAAACGATGCTACTGCCAACATTTAAGCAATATATGTTTATGTTATTTATTAATCTTGGGCCACGTCGCACACCGCTGTTCGCATTCACCACGATGCCTGTAGACTAAACAATTTTACTTCTTTTCCTGTGTCTTAAGTGTGCCTTAACTGTCCGCTGTATTTTGACCAACAAAGCAAGTTAATGTGCCTCTAAACTCTGTTAACGCATGACATTCTGTGTTCATCGGTACAGTTTTTGCTATTCCCCTCGCATTTCTTTCATGTTACTTCCTTTCCATTTCCTCCATATATATCCTCTGCATGTAACCAATAGGGATTTCAAAGGTACACACCAACTTTCTCCGAAATATACTGATACTGATACTGATCTGGTAAGCAGGCAATGTGGATGTCGTCGATATATACTAGATGCGATGTTTCCCTTATAACTAAGTAGTCAGGAGATTGTTTTTGGGACAGCTATTATTTCTTTGAGTTTGGTTAGATGACTTTGAACATAGGCAAAAAAGAGCCATAACTTTATGCCATCCTATACTAGTCCTTCCCAGATATCCTTTTAGTTAGCCATTTCTCTTTCATTATCGGCTATCTGAGTTATTTGTGTTGTTGTTGTTGTTTTTGTTGGTTGTGATATTTGAACCTTAAAACGGTTCTTCCTCCGAGTTAGAGTATATTACATTTTTCTATTTGCCAACTTCTCGCGGCCCTGATTCTGTCTTTTAATGGCCGCACTACTTCAACGCCCTTAACTTTCGACCTTCAGTAATCTGCTGGTAATTCTGTGATCCATTTCAGTTTGCCTCAGCGTTGACTAACTTTGCAGTTTCTCCATTTAGCGAAGAACTCGGATAACGTCCCCACCTTGTCATATCAAGTAGCATCCAACCCCTGCTAATGCGCATACCTCTTGTGTCTCGGAGACCTTTCATCTGCTTTTGTTTCCCCTTTTTTTGGATTTTAGGAACTTGGCGTGGGTTCGTACTGATTTATTTCTTAAATACATAATCTAAAGTAAGTAGAAATGTATAGATCACCAAACAGTTTTGTTTTTGATAGAACTTCCAATGTTTTGTTTTTGTTGGCAAAATGTGTAATAAGAACGCCGGCAGCATTTTGGTATTATTGTCGTTCAAGGTCGCCAGATGTAGATGGACCTCCATCAGGAAAAAAATGGCATATCTTACAGGCCTCGCTTTCCCCTGCCGGATGAGCTCTTGGCTCTGGATAGAATGGAGACCGTTTGTCAGTACTGCGGTGTTAGTTATCTTATCCTCTCTGAGTTCAAGTCCATGGAGGAAAAAGTGTTCGAGTTATCCAAAAATCTGGATGAAATGAAGGAGAAGGAGGAACATTTTTTACGTATGCGAACAGATTTTGAGAGGGTTAAGTCGGAAAATTTACTATGTCGGGAAGAGATTGAACGGCTTACAGAAAAGTGTGAAAGGCATATCAGTTACATCAAATTTTAGGACGGAAAACCTAATCAAGATAAACCATGACCTAGATTCAGAACTTAAGATTGTAAGCGACCACGTGATAACAAAAGAAACAGAAGTAACTGCTCTTTCGTCGAGGATTAATACTCTTCTGTAAGCTTTGCTCTTGTTTATTCTAAAATTAATAATCAGTTCTGTCACATATCTGAGACATTTTTCAGTTGTCCCAGTCAACCTCTGCTCTTTTTCCCTTAGTCTGATTCGAAGGTTTACCGTACTTTTTCGTTTTTAATTCAATTATTTTTTAACTTTCCGGTAGACCGTGCTACGTTGTGCTCTGCGGGCAGGACCGCATGCTGTTTACGTTCATGCATGAACATGTGTAGATAATTAGTTGTTATAATAACGACATCAGTGTGTCATCCTTACCGGGACGTGAATGCGATATAGGGATGTGCTCTTTGGGGCCATTTCGATAACAGACTTGGGGAAATCTCAGGGTGATCACGAGACACTCGTGATTAGACGCATTGCGATTATAATTAGTTGTAAAAAATATGGACATTACTGAACGTTTTGACCTACTTGTTTTTCGTCACGCACCAAACGACTGACTGGCCCGAACGGTGGCTAGAGCCAAGGAATGGGAGTGGGGAATGTGATAGACGACTCAGCGCATTTTCCTCAATAGAAACAATATGGCCCACTTGAGGCTATCACGGCCCGATGATAGTTGTGGCATGGAATGTCGCCAAATGACGGGATAACTCGGACCTCGCAGTCAGCCCAGTAAGTATTTATGAGATGTGGTGGACTGGCGGTCAGAGAGTGAGGCCACAATGACTTTTTGTTAATGTGACCTTTGTGGTACTCCCAATTCGTGGGATCCGAGCTGGTTGTGGTGCATGCCTAGGTGCAGATCCGATCGCACCAACCGTCTCTCTTGTCGTTTGTTAGTTAAAATCCTCGTCATGTGTTTGGTGTGAACTAGAGGGTGTGCTTATGCGCGTAGATATAGATCCAGCCACCTACGCCGTCTCCCCCTCCCGTCTTCTTAACTCTGTCTTGACACCGGGCCCAGATTGGGGAGAAGGACACAGTTCTGAAGACGATTTGCAAGCCCACTACGGCTTTACATTACTTCACGTCATGTTCGCTGTGCCCTCTCTCAGCCCGCTGCTGAACACACAGTGGGCATCGTCGGTTACGACGGTCGGACTGTTATATCCCTTGGACGTTTGTAATGTATGCAGCGAGTTCAGTATATGACCGCCGACATAACGCGATAGCAGCAAATAATATGCAGTTCATGAGGACACGGCTAAAAGTTCACATTTTGCGGCGATGAGGGATACTGAGAATGACACACACAGATTTATGTATGTTATCTTAGATAGATTCCGAACTTACAGACAGACAGGGTAGAAAAATGTTTAGGAGGGGGAGCTTAAAACATATTAGAACCGTAGAAAATAAGGAAAATAGGGTTTGGCACAGCATTAAATGATCCTTTTGTGGTGACACCGACATGCCAGCGAATGGCCTTTGGAGGTGCTAACGGGATAGGGAATATCGTTGGTAGCGCTGAGAGAAGGAAGTTGCTGCGATTGCGAGACCGGCACCCGCTTACAGCTTTTTCATTCAAAATTTTGCCAGAAATAAAGTTTAATTTATTCTAACAACCTTGTTAATTCGGATTACTCGGAGTATATCGCACTTTGTACAGAAAGTGTGGGCAGCTAAAACGGTAAAAGACATTAACGACGCCTTGTACCGTCAACCATATCTTCGTATTCGTATAATTAGGGGCATGCCTGCATTGTGCTTGGCAGTTAAGTGCGCTGATCTTCGCCGTGCACATGCTTCGATTGCTGCCAGTTATCATGCCGCATTAAAATTAACTGAAATCGGTTATAGATTTTGCAGTTCATTTGAGGCTCAAAGTTTGCTTGTAGTCCAGCAATAAAGACACGAGACATGACTAGAAGCGTGCCAGTATTCGACGGAAGGATGTAACAACGTACTGAAGTTTCCAGACGTTATGCTTGCGGCGCAAGCGTGTGTGCTCACGGGGCCTTCGACGTATTAAGAGATGAGGCAAGTGAAAAGTAAGTGCCCAAATTGGTGAAGTTAAGGCGATCTTGTAGGATCCGTTTAGGAGATTTATGCGTTTATTTTCGTGAAGTTCTATGTGCGTCTGTATATGGCTCCCATAATGGTTGATTTTTTTCATTTTTCGCTGCCGTTATCAAATTCTTTGACTAGTATATTTTTTCATACCTCCTTTCGCCTGTCGCAAGCAATGAAGGTCTATATACCGTGAGGGAGGATATATATTTCGTGCTTATGCGGGAATTGCATCGGTTGAGATGAAAACTAGGTTTTGTTAACACAGTTTTCGTGTGTTTTTGCGCGCATTTTACGTACAGAAAGGCTTGAATTAAAACTTTTAATTCATTTACTCCACTAGAGACTCTGAGAAGACCAAACGGCTTCAGTTAATCGATCTGATTAGTGAAGTTCGGAATCTTAAACGAGTGGCACATTCTTACGTGTCTGATGCAAAGTCTCTCAATCTCGAGCGAGAAATGCAACCGTTCGTTTGTTATACGAACAAACTTCTTTTGGAAGGTGAGTAGATATACTGCTTGCAGATAGCACTGGATTTTTTCAAACGTATACGTCTGCTTATTAATGCTCTGACGGTTGACGAAAGCTTACTTCAAAAGCCAGACCCTTTTTGCCTTGCTTAATTTTAGAGAAAATTAATAGGTGAACTTGGAGTAAATTC